TTTTTCCCAGCCCCCCTTGGGCCTTTTTGGCAGGGTTTTTTTTTTTTTTTTTTTTTAATTACTTAGCTGCTTCACAGCCCTATTTGTTTGATGAAAGAACCCTAAATCAGGAAAATGAGTCTCTACACTTAACATGTCCGTGCTCAGCCCAGACAGCTCCACTACCAATCCCCTCCATTTCTCCACTCTACCCCTTAGGTGGGGATTAGTGAATCTCTCTTTACAGGCAAGGTAAACCCCACCTTTTTTACACCCTACCGTTCCTTCTCTAACTAGAGAAAGGAGAAATCACCTTTCCTTTTTTCTTTTTTCTTTTCTTCCTTAGCGCTCTCCCATTCCTCAGTTTCATGGCACAGTTTCAGGCTGGTGGGGCAGCCTGTTTGTCACTTCTCTTTGAGGCGTGGTGCTCAGCGTAAGGTGGCAGGCTGGATGCCATCAGGGAGAGTGGGACTGCATTCCCATGTTAGCACCAGTGGTGGAAAGTATGGCATGCTCCTCAGATGTGGGGTTTTTTAACTCAAGAATTAAACCTTTTGGGACTCTCTGGCCCCAAAGGTTCCTTTCAGGGAAGCGCTGCCCATCTTTACAATGGCACATCCTCGTAACAATCACTAGAGACCTGCCCTATTTTTTATCTTCTTTACATATTCAATACAAATATATATAATTTTATCCATAAAAAAAAATATTTTGCTATATTTAATATCTAAAGACAATTTTTGTATTAAGTCCAGGCATTTGCTACCAGCCACTCTTACAAGCCATAAACAATGAAAATAATATCAGTGAACTGACAGCCACTACAAGATGGTTTTTGAGAGAAGAACAAGGCAGAAAGAGAGGGCCTAAGTAGAAGAAAAGAAGCCCTATAAAGCATGCATATTCTTCCTCTGCCTTTTCCTTCTTTCCCTTTTCCAAACAGTGCTTTGCAAATGGTTCTGGCACAACGGAGCAAAGCAACTACATCTGTTTCCTACCTACCTACCTGCTCCTCCTCTGCTCCTCCTCTTAGACCCAGAGAAAAGGTGCTGGAGAATTCCCCTTGCCCTCTTGCCTCCTGAAAACTTCTTTCCACTGCCCAAAACAGCGCTCAACAGCGGCAGGATAGAGACAGTGAGAAACAGCATTTTGACTCCACAGACCCTCGAGATGTGGATAGGGGCTGAAAAGCTGTTGTAACTAGAGAGCAAACATATGCGAAAGCTTATTTGAATAAGCTTCACTTAGAATAGCCAAGTGCACATCCCTATTTCTGAGCATTTTGCTATTTTACTGTTATTTTACTGCCATTAATAGCCAATGCCACCAGGGTGACAGCAGAACATTGTGTGCGTTTCAACCTGTGCTGAAACCCGTCTAATTTAGCAGCAGCTCAAGTGTGCTTCACAGCAAATAACCCAAATGCCGAGGAGATGTATTGACAGCTAAGCCAATTTTCTCTGTATCAAGATTGTTTTGATAGCTTGGCCCTTCAGGAGTTAGAAGTCATGAAGTGGTTCTTCTAACTGAATGGTCCTAACCAAAGGTCATTTCTCTCCTTGCCTAGGGTCCTGTGGATTTATTCTGTAACAGGAGAGTGGGTATACCGTCTCTTTGCTTTGTTCAGCCCAGCTGGGCTAGCAGCCTTTTTCGCCGGTAGCCTTGCCGTCATTGTCTCTTTCTACAACTTCGGGGAGTTCCTCAACCGTATGATATGGGGTCAGTCCAAGTTTTGTTTTTCACTTCTACCCACATGAAAAAAAAAAATATCTGAAATGAATTCCTGTGATTGCCTAGCCAGGTGGGGAGAGGAAGGGGGCCCTTGTACACTGGGGGGTGGCATTTGGGTGTCTGACAGAGATTGCCAGGTCCTAACCAGTTACTAACAGAGAACACATCAGAGCAAGAATCCCAACCCTACCAGGTAAAAGGCTGGGCCGGGTTTCTCTAACGTGGCTCAAGAAGTACCTCTTACCAGCATAGACACTGGATTTTTAATTCCTTCTCAAACAAGGGTCCAGAGAAGCCAAATCTCTCTGGCTAAAACTCTCACACCTACATCATGTGGTGTTTGTCAGACTAGGGAATGGCACCATTTACTGACAGTTTATAGGAAGGCAGTAGTGTATCCAAGTGAAAGCATCGCAGCAGCTCCGTCAGTGAAGCAGCACTTCAGAAAATTTTACAAACTGTTGAGAACTCTCCCTTCTTCTTTGGTAGTGGTATAATCGGTAGTGATTTAAAGAAAATGAAAGGCAGCTTCCTTGGATAAATGGGCAGTTAGGAAAAAAAAAAGTAGTTTAGGAGGACACATTCAACAGGTGGAAGAAAGAAAGAACGGATGAAGCAGCACTGGGGCTTTGGCATGAGGATATTGCTATTATTATTTATTATTATTATTTTCCCTTCTGCTTTCCCCTCTCCTTTTTCATTCAAGATTAAGTTTTTGAGGATGAAAGTGTTTCTGTCAGGAAAACGTGTGTATTTTATTTAGGACAAATGTGTGAACATTTGCAATTTCTTAAACTAGCTTTCTGATGAAAGAAAAAATGCTGCAAAAACACCTCTGAAAATAAATAAGACAACCTCCCTCTGTTCTCAGGGAACATTTGATGCCTGATCCATTTTGTGAAGTCTCACATGCCTGTCAAGCCAAAGTAGAGTGTCTGTAGCTAGTCTCTCACCATCCGTGCTCAGCTACCTAAAAGCAGCAGATTGACTTTCAAATGTGCTGAATAACCAACTTCACCGCTTGATACCTTTGCAAATAAGATGCTTGCTCTACATGTCCATGTTTGGAAATTTTGGCTGAATTCTATTCTTGCACAAACATGATACGAAATGAGGATTGCTGGTAAATGAAAACAGATCTGCAGCCTTTCTGCATGAGCTCTGGTTTAAGAGCCATCACATAAATAGTAACTATTACTAATCAAAGACCACATCATCACTACAAGACAGTATAGGTCTTTATATGAGATCTGATATCTAACACATCTAGGTATCAGATTTTTTCATCACTGAGTACGTATTAGTAATTTCAGGCCTAGAGTGTGCCTGATGCATAAGTTGGCTATAATCAGAATTAAAATAATTTGGATTTCCAAGTTGCTAATTGATTGGACAAAAGGTCATGCCAAGCAGAGATCAAATTAACTGCAAAAATTAGACACATTTTGAATAACTGACTAAATATACTCATTTCAGAGATGTTAATTTAGAAGATTTCTAAAGAAACTGGGGCAAGCACTCAACTTTCTTTTCTGTGCACACAGAAAGGCTGAAAAGCACCCCCAGTTGTGATATCATGAATGTAACCTCAGGGAATATATATAAGCACAGCATATATGATATCCTCCCTTGATATCTGATGTGCTCTTGCAATCCATGGAGGCCTCCTGTGTGTGGTGGGTCTGCCTGTCCATGCATACTTGGTACTTTTCAAAGGAGCCACAAAATCATGGCCTTAAAAATGACACGATGTTTTCATCCACGTGCAGGACGCTCCCCCGAGTTACGGTTCCCCATGTTTGTGCGAACTCCTGCTACTTCACGCGCGTCCTCAGCTCTTCACCCCCAGGGCTGGCAGCATTCCCTGGATTTGTTGTACACCGACGAAAGAAGCTGCAAGCTGCACCCCGATAGCTGGCAGCTCTGCGGTATCTGAGGCTGCAGTTTGATAACACAGGGGCTTTGGCAGCAATAACTTCTCCGTAAGCTCCTGCCCACCGCCCCTCACTCCTTCCTACTCCACCGCACACACCTGCTTCTTGCAAGCAGGGGCTGTTTGCAACTCGGGTCATTTTCCTCGTCCGTTTCCCAGCTGTGTCCACCCAAGAGAAGGGTAGGACTTCCTTAAGCTGGTATTGATAACAAGGTCCCAATAAGCATTGAAACACAGCCAGAGGGAAGCTATTCCAAATTACAGTGTGCCAGAGTCTTAATATGTTCCTGACCGAGACAAATCTTTGGCTCAGCATTGCCAGAGTAAAAACAGCTGCAAACTGAATGAAGACGCGATGCCAACATACCTTTCTCCTCGCAGCAAAAATGGCTCCACGTACTTTTTTTCATCCTACCCTTTCCTGTCTCACCTTCCCATCACAATATGGGAGATGATGCAGTGAAAATAACCCTGCAGGAAAAAAAAACAAAAACAAAACCCCACACACAAAAAGCAAAACAACCTGTGGTGGTAGAGGACAGACCTCTTCATCTTTTTGTACCCTCCACCCTGCCCACCTCCTCCTTCCCCCAAAAGAAAGAGTACATGGAAGGGCACTTCTGCCCTCTCTTTTGCTTCCTCCTCAGTCCCCCAAAGGCACAGTTTGAGTTAGAGAGTAATGCAATTGTCCACGAGGTTCCTATAGGCACATCTGGAAACACCCTCTCCAATAACACCTGTAGCCACCAAGCAATTAGGGCCGATGCTGGCAGCATCTGCCAAGGCGGGGAGCCCTGCCTGGGCTGCTGCGACAGGGCTCGCCCCACAGGGAAAGGCTCCCGGGCAGCAGCTTCTTTTTCTTTCTTTCCCACTTGAAGGAAGAAAGCTTGCTGAGTTTGTGCCCAGAGAAGTTGTGTTTATTCAGAGGTGCAAGAAGTGATTAACAAATAGCTCCACGTGAGCGGCCAGCCTGGCTTCCTTCTAGACTTACATCCAGCAGCAGACTGTAGGCTGCAAATGAAGCTTGTCCCACAGCATACCATGCTTCACAGGGGCTGTCTTCCATCTTCCCCTATAGCTTCAGGCCACTATCGCTTTTCCTAAAACCAGCTACATATATACTTACTCTTTTTCACCCTTAAAGATGTATTCAGTTCCAACTTATTCCAAAGTCTATGGATGGCAGCTTTCAGCTTCAAGAAAGTATTAAAGTATTCTTTTAAAGCTGTGTCCTGTGCTTGACCAAAAAGATGCAGTATCATTTCTGAGAGCTGGAAAATCCAGGCTGTCGAATAACATAACCTTGTTTTTCCTTTTCAGAATGACCAAAAGATGCCAGACCCTAAATTTGTTTTATTATTTATAGACAAACTGTTTCATACAGTATTGGAGGTTTTAAAAATGTATTATCTCTCATGTGCCTCTCCCTCCCCTTGCACAGTTGGATTGGTGGTAACTAAGGCAACCCAGCTGCACAGCCTGAGAGGCACAGAAAATAGTACCAGTAATGACTTTTTTTTTTTGTTTTAAATCCCAGAGTTTCTAGAGTACTAGACAATGTTGAGCAATACAGAAACTCCAAAGAGGATAATTGGAAACAATGGGCCGATTCTTTTACTGCCATAAATTTACCTCAGCCAAGAATTTGGCTGCACAGTCCAAGTACCAAAGATGAACAGTAAGATAGCTTCTCCCATTCCCAATGGGTAGAAAACATGACGCAGGCAACTGACCTCATATTACTGTGACCAGTCAAACTAGAACCCTCAAAAATAAAGCAAAGCAGTTTTCCCTTGGGTTTTGCTCCTGGTAAGACAACCAGATCCTCAGGAGAAATTCAGGTCAAAGTTCTCCACAAAAGACAGAGCAACATTTCAGGTGAGGTCTCCTCTCTGGCACCAGCTTTTGAAGATGGAGCAGATTCATTTGTCTTCCATCTAACAAACCTGGGAAAAAAACAAAAACAAAAACAAACCCAAACCAACATTCATCAGCTGCTTCATTTCAATACTTTGAAATGCAGGTGGATAGGAGCTACAACTAGCTACAGCTAGCAACAGCTACCCGCTCCACCAGTGATTTAAATGCCTGCTGAAAGACACTGGGCAAACCACTTGCGAGATTTTACAGCCACCACAAGGCCTCTGCCAAGTCCAGAGAAATGCTCATCCCCAGGTGCTGGAACTGTCCTTTGGGAGAGAAACGGGGCAGAAAGGGAGGCTGGCTGTCAGAGTGGGCAGCAGCTCCAACAGACCCATGCCTGGATGCTTGCTGTCCTCCAGAAGGGAAAGCTTTGGCCAGCAGCTGGCTGAGGAACACCGGGGGTGGGGCAAAGCCAGAATTAAAGATATTGTAAAGCAAGGGATAGGGCAGTGCAACAAGAATAAAAACCATTGCTCTCAGGAAAAAGAGGAAGCTTATGGTGGAGTAACTTCCTTGTGCCCAGTGCACAGATGGATGCGCTCCTCCAGATCTTCTATGAGCTCTTGAATATCTTGTGAAGACATTGTTGAAATGTATTCACCTAAGGCTGAGCTAAAGTTAGATGGCAATCTTCTCTTTAACATATTTTTCCCTCTTCTTTTTGGAGTACTTTTGCATTAAATGCATTTTCCAGAAATGTATAACATGGTTTAAGAACTGATTGTTTTCCCTGGGTTTTATTTTTTTTTATTTACATGCTTGTGAAACCAAGCTCGCTTAACGCCCTGGAGTCAGCTATTGGGAAACGCAGCCTATGTGACAACGCATGAATCTGTGCAATACGAAGCAGTACTATAATATGATTGAATTCTCCATGCTCTCATTCTTCTGAGCAGCCATTGAGATTGCAGAAACCCGAGTGGCAAATACAGGGATGCAAAGGGCAACTGTGTGGGTTACGAAGCCATTCTACCATTGTGCTGGTACAGGCTTATGAACAGCAGGTTTTGTATGAATGTTCAAATGCTCATGTTCTGCAGGTAGTTATCAATCCAGACACAGGTTCCACCCTTCATTATTACAGTGTCCAGGAGGGATTTTTAAACTGAGCCTCCTTTTCAGAAGGTATCTTCATTTGTTCTATCATGCCTTTAAAAACAAAGAGTCCAGTGCATATCTATTTCTTTCAGTAGACAAATAATGTTTATATCTAAAATTTCCCTATATTGCCAGTGACAAATGGAACTCAAGTTTAAGAGGATTTACAGACCAGGGTTTGCAAACTAAATACGAATATTTACTTTTGTTTCAGCCATTCATCCTAGTTGTGCCACAAACCTGTAATGGCATATTTATATCCTTCGTATTTGTCACTCCCCCAAGCCGCAGTTTACCCCTCGGGTAGAGGAATCTAGCTATTTAAAGGAAACCTGCACCATCTGTCACATGCCCTGCTCTTGCTGACAAGTTTATCTGATGATCCACTGGAGGGAGACTGGATCAGAAGCTCTGGCAACCCAGGGCTTACGATTTCATCATTGGAGGCCAGACATTAACAGGTGCTTGCTAATATGCTGTCCCTGGCCTAATAGGCTAGTCTTTTTTTTGGTGGAGTTTTTTTCTCCCTCATCTTTAAAATTTCTATTTGGTGAGTACAAAATCTGTACAGGATCATTTGGGAAGGAAGAAATGCCAGGATTTTGTTCCCTATCAGGTCAATTGCCAAATGCTGTGCAGGCTGGAGATAAATAAAATATAGCAATTAGTGTTTCAGAGCTTCTGAGGTCTATGGGCAAGGAAAGCACCTTTAAAAGAGGGTTCCCTGTGAGTAAATGATCAGCAACAGGGAAGAAGAGAGGCTGAGACCTTTAGATAAGGGTACCCAAATATATTTGATTATTACCACGCTTGGTGCCCCATGGTAGCGCACCTGGTCTCTAGCTGATGCTTCAGAAAGCTGTGGGTCTTTGGTAGGTCCTCTGCCATCCAGGCCAGACTCCTGAGGATGCTCCAGATATCTTAGCTGCAGGATTAATCACCTGCTGCCTCTTCAGAAAAGCTTTATTTTTAAAGCTTTTCACATATTCTTGCACCAAGCTAGGCTTGTTCGGTGGCAGATAGTTTTTCCCCACTAGCAAAGCACCATTATTGTCAAGGGATGTGGCCCGCGGGTAGATTTCAAATCATTCCTCAGTAGTCGAGTAATCCCTTACTTGCTGGGGACATCGCAGGCTCATTTGACTTCGGCAGCACTTTGGCGTCAGCAGCTGGTCCAAGCCGTGCACTCATAGCTTGCTCCCGCTCCCAGGGATGTTGGGAGGCTGGGGCCAGTTTCGCATCCTCCTCCCAGCAGCGTGCGTGACCTGTAAGAGGACTTCTCTGTTGTGCCTTTTTTTCCAATAATCTGTTCTCCTCTGCCTCCGAACAGGAGATTCAATAGTAATACTGGACTACAGGCGGAAAGGCAAGTGAATCCTCCTCTTCAAGCCAAACAAGCTCTCCATGACTGCTGAAGCCATGAAGTAGAGGAAAATAAATGCAGCTGCGATAAATCCTTTCTCCAATGCATTGCAGCTTCTGCTGAAGCCATTATGTCATCAGACATATGGAAAACTAGTGGAAAATATGAAATGTTTGCCTGTTACATGATAACTCTGCAACTGCTATGAATAAGAAAATTGTGTTCATCTGTTTACACAGATTTCTCATCTCTTGCACAATGTACGTGAGGATGTGTCCATGGTTAAAACTCGTCACTGGTAAACGAACTCTCTCATGAGCTTGGCACCACTCTGTAAAAGATCTGTGAATGAAAGCCAGCTCTTGTTTGGATTACCCTTCATCAAGTCTGGAAAAAATTAAGAGGAGGGGTAATTTTAACAGTGCTGTGACTTTCAAGCTAGCTAGATAACAAATTGGGCTAACAAGGACTGTAATTAGGAATGTCTGCTCAGAAAGTTCACCATGAAGCCAAGTTCTTCTAACGAGAAACATTCTGGAATATTAATATGCATAATATCTCCCCTCCATTTTAACAGGAAATCTGAATGCAACACTTTCTTCCTTTTTCTTGGTTTCAGTTAATCTTGCAGCAAAAAGTAACCTAATTATACTGACTGTATGATTGCTTTGACAGAAAGCATGTTAATTTAAAGCACTGTTTAACATAAAGCTGCCTGCCATATAATTACACTCCATTCACATGTTTACTAATCTTGCTCAATATAGTTGATTTCTGTTATTAGCCTCAACATCTTGTTAACATCTAAAACACTGGAGATCTGCTTTGCAAACTCCAATAAACAGGCAAAACCGACAGTAGCATAAGCGTTCACTAATGGTCACCATGAAAAAGAAAGATCTCTGTTATTAGCCTTGCATTTAAATGAGGATTTGAAACTAGTTGCAGTACTTACATGTTGAACTCCATCTTCATTGCCAAAACCCCTCGCTCGGAGCTACCGTGCACACAGTTCACCAGGCTGTTATTTTCATCTTTCAAATGCTGCTGGAGCTCAGTAAAAACAAAACACGTTGTAAGCTGCCTGTGAGCCATAAAAAAAAAAATAATGTGTATACATAAGATTGTTCTTCTCACATGTTAAGCATCTGATAAAATTCTGGTCTGGTAAGTTAACATACTAGGGCTAGACTGTAAGCTAAGTTAACTCAATGAAAGACGTGCACGCGTTCAATAATTCCCAGCTTATCTAGATAACTCGCTCCAGCTAACTTTGCAAGGGGAATGTAAGCAATTACACACACACACCCCCTCCTTTTCTGTTGAAGCTAAAGGAGAACATGGAAATCAGCTGAAAGACGCTGGTCAAAGGAAATATTCCAGAGAGGCAAACCATGAAAAACCATGAAGGGAATTAGGGAAGAGGAGAAAGTTCAGGAGACTCCCTGTACAGGTATGTTGGGGTAGGGGTTTTGCAGGGTTTTTGTTGTTGTTGTTTTGGGGGTTTGTTTTGTTTGGGTTTTTTTTGGGTTTTTTTGTTTTTTTTTTTTTTTTTTTTTTACACACAGTCCAGTGCAAGCGGGTTAAATTCTTGTTTAGTGTGTATACAGATGCGTACATTTCAACATTGTGCCTTTATTGCTATGTACAGGTAACTGCGTTCTGACTCATGTGAGTGTTACCTTTTATTATGAGATTGCATAGAAAAGCTGGTAAAATGAAGAATTACACTCAGGGTTCGTGCCAGAGTCTGAGACTTTAGCCTTACTGCTGTAAGGCTACTCTCCCTGCTCTTAAAACTGCTTTCATTTGTGAATAGCAGTGATGTTTAGGACAGAGTAAGTATTTGCCATTTTCTACTCTGTGGGTACCATGTGTTGCTGTGAAGCCCTTGAATGGCTTGTTTTTGTGCTTTGTGTAGTGTTATTCGGCTCATAATGAGCTCTTGCTGTGAGCTTGCCATAGTATGAACCTATTTGGCTTTCCTGACTACTAGGCCTTGCCTAAGAAAGATCATCTTAGTTCTGTAGCTCTGTATAGCGTCTGTTTTGGCTCTTTAGTGTTTTTTTTGTGTTTTTTTGGTTTTTTTTTTTTTTTTTTTTTTTTTTTTTTGTACACACAGTCCAGTGCAAGCAGTTTAAATGCCAGAAACTCAAAACAAAGCCTGGGCCCTGACACAGAGAGGCACTTCTTTCCACATCCAGCCAGGAGATGGACGGCAGATCTCGCCTTTGGCTCCTGCTCGTGCCAAGAGTTACCTTTGGGATCTGGCATGGTGGTTTTCCTGCTGGGCTACAGGGGTCCTGCAGGAGAGGAGAATCACGGAGGGGTGTTGTTTCTTTTTTTGAAAAGGGCTCAGAAGAGGCACTGCTCTCGGTTACGTCCTGCATGGAGAGGCTGGATCGCAGTCATGCGCTTTGGGAAAGCGATCAGAAACACCTGTCCCCAAAACACAACTGCTGGGGTCTTGGGTTTGCTTTGCTCCTTTCTCTGATGCACACGAAGCCCTGTAAGGAGGAAAGGATACGTTGTTGGTCACGAACCCACATTTTCCCTTGTGATTTCGAAAAGGCTATACTGAAGTACACCGAGTAAGGATCTGGCCTTTATGACATCTACACTAGATTTCTCTTTCCAGTCTGTTTCTCTCTCTCATTTTATTTTGAGTAAGTATGCAAAGTCAGTCAGAACTGTTTATTTATAGCTGTAGATTTTCATGGCTGTATAAATTAGATGTTATTACTGAATGAGATGCCCACCCACTCACCAGTGCAGCTCTACAGGAATCCTCTCATGCTGCTCAACGGTACGCAGCCTCAATCGGGAGGAAAATGACATGCTCCCAGTCAGACCAAGGGACCGCTGCTTAAACCCTCAGGCGAAAAAACAGCAATTAATTTTTTCCATCGTACAATGTGCAGTATGACAACCACAATTACCTAATGCTATTTAGACCTGCCACTTCGGTTTGGTGGAGAGAAAATGAAGGTTTAAATTCACCAGAGAAAAAAAACCCCAAACTAGAACCTACCCCTGGACTTTCGTTTTACAACATTAAGGGATTTTGGAGGGAGTGAGGGGGACAGGGACAGTCAGGGGAAGTAAAAGTAAAATTGGTTGTTATTTGAGACAGAGCACCATCGGAAAATAAGGACCCATCCCATACACACACACAGAGCTATTTCCAGCAGAAACAGCTGGAAAGCAATATCTACCACGACTAGGAGCTTTCATCTTAGCTCACACCTTTGTAACAGTTTACTCCCACAAAAAGCACAGGGAAGTGCTAATTTATTCCTTCCCCAATTTCCCACACAAATTTCTTGGTTTGGGTCTCTGCCAGAGCTTCAGGGTCACAATCTGACCTCAATAACGTAACTTAGGATTGTTCCAAGCCTTCAGTGGAACTACTGAAGATTTACTTTGATGGATATGGGGCCGGGATCTGGCACGCAGAAAACATGCATTTACATTCCACTGAAGTGTCTAAAATAGTTGCCCAGGGAGGCTGAAATTCAATTTGAGACCTTGTATTCACTTGGCAGAGCACATAATTAAATATTTTGTGCCACAAAATTAACCAGAGAGTCTCAGGGGTATCGGTAAGGGGAGGCTTAGAATCAACCATGAGAGCCAAACTAAGACCCATTTCCCAGGCAAGTTATTCAGTAAATATTGGAAAAAAATCATAGCATTCGTATATGGGTTCATAATAATTTTTCTTTGTATTTAACCGTACTGATTATCTGGTTACGTCAGAGGAAGAGGTTATTGGCTGTGCGGATTTGTATGAATAACCCCAGTATCAAGTTCTGCTCTTGAACTAAAGCTACTGCTTACACCTAAGAACTGTTTGTGATTGAATTAACCATTTGGTACAAACAGCAGGTAAAAACCCAAATACAATTACAACAGGCCAGACCTCATAACAAGCGGTCGAAAGTTCCAAAGCAAAATTTTTGCCTTTTTAAAGTCACTAGAGGCCCTACCCTGCAAAGAGTTAAATGTTTCTGAAAAGCAAACCAAATACCTAAGATGTTTGGTATCAATACACTTTAGTTTAACTTCCAGATATTAGCGTTTAAAAACATGGGTTTGAGTAAAAGCTCTAGGATATGGCCCAATAATAGTTCTGAGCTATAAAATTTAATAATAATACTTGGTGTTTCAAATGTCACCTTCTATCAAATGCTCTCAAAACATTTAAGCAAACCTTCAAGTTCCTTTCACCTTGAGAGGGTAATTTCTCTCACTACCCAGAGAGCAGCACATATATCAGTAAATAATGCTTTTTTTCTACACCTGAGACAAAGAGAACTACCTCCTCTGAGTACGCAGGACTACCTGGTTTTACTGTTGGCAAGGACTACGTTCCTCAAGGAGAAGAGACGGAAACCTACATACACCGACACATACCTGCTTTTCGTTTTGAGATGTTCATTCAAGCTTGTGGTGTGGAACCACCTAGCAACGATGTCATCGCCAGCTGGCAGGTGAAAGGCACATTCTTCACTTAGTCTACTAAAAGTTTGCGTGCTACGACGCACTGCCGCTTCTGCCTGGGTTTGGAAATAGCAGTTTTTCCTGCCTTTTTTTTTTTTTTTTTTTTTTTTAATTTTTTTTTCCCCCCCAGGATAAAAACCCCTGGAAGCAGCCCCCCCCATCTTCTGGGGTTGGAAAAAAATCTTTTTTCCCCTTTTTTTTTTTTTTTTTTTTTTTTTTAAGCTTTTCTTCCACACCAGGATCAAAAGCTCTGGTAGCAGCATCCCCCCCGTCTCTGACACCGCACACAGGCACACGGCACCGTGCATGTGTGCAGGGAAAGGGTCCATCTGCGAAGAGGTCAGCCCCCCAGTTTACCAGCTCCGTGCTGCAGAGGCGACTGTCCCCAGGCTCGGAGGTGACCCTTCCCGTGGCAGAGGCAATGGAGCGGGCAGCACACCTCCCTGCCTGGCTGGTGGAGCTCTCACCCGGTGGCTTGCAAGGCCTCGGCCCACAAATCACCTTTCCC